CTTCCTTCCTTCCTTCCTTCCTTCCTTCCTTCCTTCCTTCCTTCCTTCCTTCCTTCCTTCCTTCCTTCCTTATATATATATATTTCAAGTGTAATCCACACTTGTAAGCAGCTTGTTCATGAGTGCGACTGCTTTGCTTAGCGATGGAGTTGCTGGTCCCAATTGTGGTCACTAATGAGGACTACCTATTTAATCATCTAACAAGCTTCCTATTTAAAAAGTAAAAGAATGGAAGTGCTATATCCTGCAGGGAAGGAAAGACTGATGTATGTCTCTGACATTTTTTTTTTCCAGAAATTTGTATGGCACACTGTAATATGCCTGTTAAACAAGCCCCTTTCACTTTACAATCAGAGATTTCAATATTTACATTATAGTTTGGTAAAAGTATTTCTGCTTCTTGAATACTTTTTGTAATAATTTTCCATGTAAGCTTTGATGAAACATTGCAAATTTTTATTTATTGCCCCAGTCAGTTGCATATATGTTCATTATTCCCAATATACCTCTTTTCCCAGTTTATCTACTGTTCTCCAGAAATTGTTGTAATCCAGATATATGAAAGGGTTCCACGAGGAAGGAAAGATATCATGCATTATATGGGATTTTCCCTAAAAAAGAAGAAATTAACAAGATGTAAAAGAATAGTCAATGTTTTCCTCTGATATTAGTCTTAAGTCTCCATATGTAATAATTACTGTGTAATTATAGTAATTGCAGTCAAATGTCTATTAGAAATATATTCGGTAGCATTGAATATGCAAATCTAGAACTGAATAACACTTGCATACTAAAAAAGATGAAATGCAAATCTTGGCTTCTTCATTATCTTTCTTTTCCATATTGAGAAATACAAATTTAAGCTAAAGCACAAAAAAACCCTTCAACATCAGATTCTTCTTTTTACTGGTGTCTTTTTAATTACTTTCAGTTTATCAGTTTGCTTATGTATTGGTCTTGGAGGGAGGGACATAAATTGGGAAAAAAGCATCTAACTTCACATTGTTGTTATAGGAATTAAAATAAGAGTGGCCCTTTGAATGTTACCTTGAGCTTTAGAGAAAATCAGTGCATTACTTTAGCTGGAAACAAATAAATAGCTATCAAACTATTTTAGTTGAAACATGAATCATATAATCATGATGTTTTCCTTTGTGATCACACATATATGTACATTATAGAAAGTAGACTTTGCCATCCCCACCCAACAATTACTAGGGAATTGGAGGGGGAAGATCATCCTACATTTGCTGTTGAGTAGAAAGGAGCAAAGGAATGGTCAGAAATACAAATGGCTTGAGACAGAACTGCTGAAAAGCAAAGCAGAGTTGTCTCTGAAGATTAGCCAGTTGCATAAGAGAAGTTACTTTCCTGATGAATTTAAATCTTTTTGTAAAATCTAAGCAGAATTTCTGTCTTTCTTTTCTTCTCTCTGTACTTTCCAGTTTACTTTCTTCATCCATTTTTTTTCTCCTTTCCTCTTCTTTTCTCTTCCTTTTTCAGGGCAACTCCCTTTTACTTTTTTCCTTCCTTCCTTCCTTCCTTCCTTCCTTCCTTCCTTCCTTCCTTCCT